GTGAAAACGAGGCTTTTATTCTGCATTCACCAAATTAACCAAAAAGTCACGTGAAAGTAGTATGGAGGAATAAGGACTAGTGCCAAAAGTGCTGTTACACATTTCACAAGCAAATACAGCGTTCACGTAACAGTCTTAAAGATAAAACAGCAAAAAAATTTAAATAAATAAATGTACAGATCATTATACAAATATTTAATATTATACAATATTTTATAAAATAATATAGAGAAAATATGTATAATAATAAATGTCCCTACATCCATTCTTAAGATATGATTAAAAGTGAGTAGCATAAAGAACTTCAAGCATTAGGCTCAAACTGCTTCCCATTAAAGTATGTTATTTCAAACACAGCCCACATCTTGGATGAAAGGAATCATTTCATTTTCCATTTTGCCAGTGTATGCATTAAAGTAAAGCCTCAAAGATTGCCCCTTATCGAGGGCAACTATAAAGGGTAATTAAATGGGGGAAAAAATTGTGACTTCCTTGGCAAACATATAATCACAAGTCATGTTTTCCCCATTTCTATAAATCATTTGGCATTTGTGGCATTTGTCTGAAATCCATTAGTAATGAGCATTCACTGTAGTACGCCTCACTGTACCATGCCTGCATGTTGCGTGTATGTGTAGTTGCTTGCTTGTGTGTAGGAATACTTGTTTAAGTCTGGCGGAGATTTTCGAAAGCTTGCTCTTTAGGATGTTCCTCATTAGTATGAATATTAATGTGGCCAGAAAAAAAGAGGGAAGGCAGTAGGACAGGGAGGAAAAATGTAAAAGGAATTTGGAAGAGCTTTTTAAAGGGGCCATTTCATCTGAATCGTTATTTTTTTGCGGTCCTCCCAAGGCTCGTAACTGGCTGTCTATGAAGAGAGACAAGCCGCAGAGGGGCTTCATTTAAAACCTAAAGGTCACAGCACAGAGAAAGATCTCCAGCTCAGGCAAAAATAGAAAAAAAGTGGAGGTGGAGAAAGAGAGAGAAAGAAAGAAGAGAGAGAGAGAGAGAGAGAGAGAAAGAAGGGTGAGGGGCGCGAGTGCATGAGTAAAATGAGGTAAATGGCAACTGATCAATGCGAATGTATTAAGAAACATGTTTAAGGAGAGAACACAAATCAAGCCAAATGTAATGAGACAACAAATGAGGCAGAAACATGATGAAATCATTAAAAGCAAACAGAACACTGTGTACTTTTCTAATGAGCTTATGTGATTCAATTCCATCCAACCACATGCAATTTATTTTCTTATTCTTATTTTGTCAATGTTCGTTCTTTCACATGCAATGATTTTTCTGGACAGCTCTTCGGACAAAATCAAAACGCTGTTAGGAAATGTGCCAACATGCCCAGAAATCTGCACCGGAGCCATCCCTTAAAAGTGCATTGGCAGGCTGCCCTTAATGCAGGTACCTGGCAGTCATGCTTTTCCAGCTTGGTTAAAACCCAGAGTTTTTGTCAGATGGGAAATTAATTTCACCGTGTTCCTTCCCGTGTATAAATCTTTTCCACTCAGCAATTACACGCCAAGAACAAAAGCCACCATTAAAATTTCAAAGCAAACACTCTTAATGCCGTCACTTTTGACTCAATATTAGAGCCATTTCCTTTGCTCAACAGTTGCAAAGTAAGTGTTTCGCAAAGGTGTTCAAGCACTGGTTGTTTGTTGCAGTGTAATCTCTGCCATCTCTCCAACCACCATGGCAGCTAGTCCTTTACACACCTCTGTAGTCAATCACTTGTTTATCTGTGAGTTCACTTAAATTGCCCAGTGAGTGCACCACACAACAGCACAAACCCAGAAGAGCAGTGTGAGCCAGACGACAGACCTTGATCTAAAGCCCTGCACTCTGCACTGATAACACGCCGGCTTTCCCTTTAATGTCCCCAGCACAGAAAGATGCACCAGGCCCCCTAGTAAAAGGAATGCCCTTGCTCGCTTGTAAAAGTAGGATCCCTGGAAGACAGAAAGAGAGAGAGAGAGTGGGGGATGGGTAGGAACAGCAACGTAAGGAAGGAGGAAAATCACACATCCAGGAATTAACTCCCTCTATCCATTGCCTGGATCAATCCCCTCCGCAATTCCCAATCCGCCCCCATCTCTCTTAAACTCATACCCAATTCCAATCATGGCCACAGTAAAGCTCTCTTGTAAAATACCACAATGCGACCTCAGACTTCAGTAAATTAGATGCCGCTTGGACCCCTTTGCTTTGAAATACAGCACAGGTCTGCCTGGAGCAGCATTAAAACTGAGGTCAGCCCAGCCACTGCACACGAGAGATATTTCCCCTGCCATAACGGTGTGTTTGCACGGAGGTACGTTTGCAAACCTCATTTAAAGGAGCCGAATGAGAGGCTAAAGCCTGCCAGTTTGGCATCGGCTTTCGTGCATGTTTGTCAGCGGCTCTGTGCGCCTGAATCCCTGGCGAGGGTGTACCCAGTATGCGTCAAAGCGCTGCTCGGGCCAGGCATGACCACTGATCAGATGGATGATCAAACTCTAATCATCCCCTCACGGCCCATCCCGGGTAAAGCTGTCATTAATTTTGCGGAATTACATCAAATTGGAGACATTCTTTATGCAGCCCACAGCCTACAGACAGTTATACGATGGGGACTGCTGTGCTAAGCAGATGGGGCAGCTTGGCCGTGCATACTAAATACCGCTGCCCCCCTTCATGTTTCTCCCTTTCTCTTTGGCACACCAGCTCCCTCTCTCCGTCACTTACGTACTTCCATCACTCTTTGTCTTCTACCCTTCTGGGGTCTTTGATAACTTTAAGATTTTACTTTACATCTTCTTCCTGCCCTTCCACAATTTACTTTAGCTAGCATTTTCTTTGTTTCTCTCTCTTTCCATCAGGAAGGTCTATATGTTCAGGGTGTGGTGGGTGTTTGTTATTGACGTTTACACTCCCCCTCCCATTTCTTGCTAAAGATGCCACCATGAAATAAGCAAAAATGCCCTGCCCCAGAAAACCCACTGTTAGCTTACCCATGTTGCAACTAAATGCATGCTACTGCATGCCAAACGCAGTCACTGCACACTCATTCAAGATGCTGTAATCTGTCACACAAGCAAGTATGTCTGAAACACATAGTTCATCATCTATATTTTGTCATGCACAGATATTTTATAATGAATAAATAATTTTTTGTTTGTTTGTTTTTTTACAGGAAAGCACCTTTATACTTGAGAAACATTAGATCAGCGGTCCTCAAGTTGTTGTTGGAACTTAAATTAATTTTTGTAAAAAAAAAAAATTAAATGCACTACTGTTCAAAACTTTGGTGTCGGTAAGATTTAAAAAAAAAATTTGAAAGAAGCCTTACCTTGGTTTTATTTATTGAACAAAAATAGAGTAAAAACACTAATATTGTGAACCATTCATGCACTGCAAAAACTGTTGTCTGTTTTAATACATATTAAGAAACAATTTATTCCTGTGATGACAAAGCTGAATTTTCAGCATCATTACTTCAGGCTTCAGTGTCACATGATCCTTCAGAAATCATTCTGATATGCTGATTTGTTGCTCAAGAAACATGTACATGTATTTGAAAACAGTTGTGCTGCTTAATATTTTTGTGGAAAGTATGACACGCTTTTTAAAGATTCTTTGATGAATAGAAGGTTCAAAACAACAGCAATTATTTGAAATACAAGTATTTTGTAACAATATAAATGTCAGTACTGTCATTTTTGATCAATTTAATGCATACTCACTAAATAAAAGTATTAATTTATTAATTATCCAAGTTTGAATTAAACCTGTATTAAACTATTTTTAAGAAAAGTTCAAATTAAGAAGCTAAAAAATTTTTTTTTTTACATTTTCTCTCTCACTTTAAAATGTATTAAGTAAAATTAAAAACATGCAAATATATGACTTTCTACATCAATAATGATTATTATAATGGATTTATAATGTGAGCATCATAAAGTTATGATAAATTCTGTTCAGTGCTCTGATTGAGAACAGCAAACATATTCATTGGCTTGCCAGCTGATAGTAACTCGCAAAACGTGGTAGATCCTTCCACGTTAATACAGATTACAAAGGTCTGATTTGTAGAAAACAATTCAAATTACCAAGAAAACTCAATAGTCGTCATTCTATACGTTTTGCAGTATCTATAAAACAAGCAAGAAGAATCCCTGACCAGGCCAGTAATGAGATGATCAACACACAGCATCTCCACGACATGGCGGCGGCAGCAACAATACTACATCTTTCTTTGCGTGAACATTTGGGCGGCGTTATGCAAATCTTCCCACATAGTGAGGTAGGCATGTGGGGGCGTGTTCGAACGAGCCGTTTTAGGTAGGTGTGGCTGACTTAACTTTTATAAAGAATATCTCTTTGGGTTTGAGACTTTAATCTTTGCAACTTTAGGGATCTTATCTATTCATGAACAGCTTGTAACACTCCAAAGAGAAAGGAAAACTTTAAATCGCATCATATGACCCCTTTAAGGCTACTTAAGGAGCTAATTAGCAATCAATCAATCATTAGAAATACAAATAGAACATGCTGCAAATGTTGACTTCATGCAATGCATTTGTACTAACACACATACAAGACAGAGTTGCATTTTTACTCCTATAAATAGCATTTTTAGTAAAGACGTAATTGAATGAATCACTGTATTGTTGTTTTGGACTGTTCGAAAAACGATTCGCGGAAGTGAGTCAGACTTCCCATCAGTAGCGTTGCTTTTCTCCATGCGTTCTTATGGCACCTATCGCCTTGGCCATCAGTTGATTGACATACAAATGGAACCAATAGAATCCAAGTCGATGAATCCGATGAGAAATATGAACCAATCAAAGCTCCAATAGCTGTACTGTTACCATGACGTCGACCTTCCAAGCGTCGTCATTACAGATGGGGGTTTTAGTTTTTTTGAGTATCTGAGCCACGATTCAGAACCAGTACTGGAACTTCATTTCCCATAATGCACCGAGACCTCCAGAGCACCCATGCTTTTGTTTTTGTTATTGTTGTGAGAGGTTCGTGGCACAGCTCATCTCAGCGAATGTGTCAGTGTTTTTCAAGAGGAGATTGTTTTCATAATCTAAGCTAAATCGGGTGAGTTTTGTTGTACGACGCTTGCGGTTTTTTCCACAAAAGAAAAAAAGAGAAAAAACTGCTGCATGCTCGGTAGCACGCAGCTACTGTAAAGACAAAGCATGCCATGTTTATAACATCCAATCTATTTTGAAGCGGTCCCAGGGAATGTGTATTGACCATAACAGTGTTATAATGTTGTCATGTTCTTTTTTTTTAAATTGCTGTAACAAAGTGTTAGATCTGCTTATGCATTGTTTTTTTTTCTCTCGTTTGTTGCGACGCTCTACCGAGTAACTTGAGATTGTTTCTAACTTTGGGCCTCGCTTGCAATAGTCATCCACGATTGTTTGCAAAGCAAAAATTTTAGTTTTATTTCGCAAGTCAGCAAAACAAACAAACAAACAAGATAATATTGTAGAAATTATAGAACTATTGTAACCATTCTTTTTTATTATGCCTCAACAATCAGGTGTCACGTGTCAAGTAATATTGAAGTACATTAGATTAGTGAATTTCTGATTTTTTTTAGTTCACCACATTGAATCAAATTATCCTTGATCTTTTGAGATAAAAGAGCTTGATACTGAACATTGAAATTAAGCTGCAAGTTTCTGACATCAGACAGATGATGTAAGAAAACGTCCTTGGCCTGTTCATGGAGAGTCTAAATATGGAGTGTGTAGTTTATTATGAAGTGCTAATGATGGACCCACCTGTCATTGCCTGTAATCCATACCGTTCACAAAGTAAGTCACAGCATTTGTGGCGCCCGACAGCCTGTCATAAATGCTCTCTAAGAGCTGATGTGTGTCTGACTAAGAAAGTCTGCACTCAACATCAGTCATTCACAGGAACCCGGCATCTATTTTAACATAAACGGTTCCTCTTCACTTGTGCAACACATTCACCTCTCCCCTACTGTCCTCAGTATGACTAATTAAAGCCTGTTTAGAGTTACTGTATATTGTATATTTGTGAATGTGGACATAGACAAATAGGGCATACATATAGATAGAAATAGCCAACTACGCACATACAATCTTAGAAATAAAGGTTCCAAAAGGGTGTTTTCGCAGTGATGCCGTAGAAGAACCTTTTGTGTTTCCCAAAGAACCTTTCAGTGTCCAGTTCTTAAAGAACCATTTTTTTTCTTTGTGTGAAGAACATTTTAAAAATCTAAAGAATTTTTTCCCACCATAAAGCACTTTTTGAGGAATGTAAAGGTTCCATGGATGTTAAAGGTTGTAAATAAAAAAAAAAACTTTAGATATATTGTGTAGATATAGCGTATTCAAGATTAAAAAAAAGTCATTATTGCCTTATTGAGTGTAAATGGCATGTCTATGAACTTTTTCTTAACATCAGGATTTGATGTTATAATTAATCTAGAATATATTGTATTTTGTATGTATTGTTTTTCTTTTAGTTTTTTAACCATTTTTTTAATCAACTTTGTTGCAGTTCGATGGTCATTAAATTAGTTTTTTGGAAATACTAATATTTCACATAATCTCTCAAATAATGATGCCATAAAACTACATGTATAATAATTAAAGGATGAGAAAAATATTCTCTGAAGTAGTTTTAGAGGGCATGTCAATTATCATTTTAATATTTACCCAGGTGCATCACTATTCTGTTGCCATGGAGAAGACATGGGGGGTGGAGTTTCGAAATGTCGGAAGTTGCTACTTTCCTCAGAGCAGAGTGGACTGCCACTACACCATCAACCCTCAGCACACGTGGGCCAGTAACGACTGGGTTGGACTGTTTAAGGTTAGAGATAGAGCCCGATTTCATCTTTGTTGTAGCTGTTTTGCTTAATTAAAGCTGATCTGTTTCCTTTTATCCTCAGGTTGGCTGGACATCAGTCAAGGACTACCATACGTTTGTGTGGGCAGTAGCTCCATCCAGCTACAAAGAGGGGACCTCTGTCAACTGCTGTGTTAATTTCCAAGGTCTCTGAAGCAGTGATTTTGGATGTTCAAGCCCTCTTGAAAGTCAGCTGATGGTCTCAATACAGTATGAATAAAGAATAGAGTGCTTTAGGGACATTAAAGGAGCTAATTACAGTTTATTGCATTGATTCATGCAACTGCTGGTCTCATTCACTGAGGTGCATTCAGTACATTAGCAAACGTTCATCCCCAGATGGCCTGTGCAGGAGATAAAATGCCACAAAGGAATTCGCCTGTAGTTAGTTATTAGTAGGGATGAGCAGGATGCTCCCAAATGACCCTAGATTGACTTGCTTCTCTGCACATTTTTCTGTAGAGTCGGCGATGCTTTAAAAAGAAAAAAATCAGAGATGCAATTTATTTGAAATGGTTTTACCATACTGTGCTATAGCGCGCAGTACTATCAACACAGTAAAACCAGCCATTAAATTGTTGTGCGAGAACATAATAATTATTCAGGGCTTCCTTATAGCCAAATAATCAACTAATCTTTGAGACAAGCTAATGACCAGCTGATTTTTGAAAAGCACATCTGTAGTAATTAAGTCTACAGAGAGTGGGCTCTATATCCTTTTAAAGTAACATTCATTACGGTTCAAAAGTTTGGGGTCAGTAACTTTTTGTTGTTGTTTGTTTGTTTTTGAAAGAAGTCTCTTATACTCACCAAGCCTGCGTTTATTTGATCAAAAATACAGTAAAACCAGTAATATTGTGAAATATTATTGCAACTTAAAGTAACTTTTCTGTTTGAATATATTTTAAAATGTAATTTTCTTTCTGCAAAGGCAAAGCTGAATTTTCAGCAGCCATTGCAGTCTTCAGTGTCAATGATCCTTAAAAAAAAATCATTCCAATATACTGTTTTACTGCTCAAGAAATATTTCTCATCATCAGTTTTGAAAACAATTGTGTATTAATGTAATTAATAATTAATGTAATTAATATTTCTGTAGAAACAATGATTTATTTAATGATAATTAAAAAATTTTTTTTAATGATTATTTCATAAATAGCAGCCTTTATTTGCATTTATTTATTTATTTTTATCAGTAAAATTATAAATGTCTTGACAGTCGTTTCATCAATTTAATAAATAAAATTTTATAAAGAATAAAATCTTAACACAAAAATCTTACTGACCCCAAACCTTTGAATGGTAGTGTAAATCAGTTTTTGCAAATGTGTGTGTCTGTGAAAGTGTTGCCTGGGCTGAGATTTGCACAGTGCAGAATGGCAGCATTGTAATTTGGGGTGAGTAATGGCGATGGAGACAGAGTGCGTTTAGGACCTCGGAGAGCAGTGCCCCAGGCTTCAAGTGGTTTCGTAGGAAATCTCCAAACTTCACTCACTATGAATAACCAGACAGGAAATATTCAAATACGCTTCACCTGTATTCAAAACCACAGCCCACAAAATACAGTTGTTTTGTTTATAGTTTTGTTGGCCTGTATTTGGCCTTTCACAGCTTCCCTCTTCTCTCTCTTCTTCAGCTTCTTACCTACCAGGGCCTAGTGCTCAACAGTACCAGTTTGTGTATGTGGATGGAAGAGAAGAGGTTTGTTCTCGCAGCACTGCCTTCACCTTCTCAGCCCCCAAGCCCCTAGAGGAGCTGGTGACTCTGGAGGAGGAAGGTCAGGGGGAGGAAGTGGGCGAGGACATGTTGCTGGTCATTCCTAGAGCCCAGCTACTGCAGGTTAAAGAATATGTTAAGACTGTGATTCAGTCCATCATTTCACACAAATGAGACAAAATAAGACAATGCCGGATCCAGGTGACAGTTTCCTACACTCTTAAAAATAAAGGTGCTTCAAAAGGTTCTTCAAGCGATGCCATAGAAGAACCATTTTTGGTTCCACAAAGAACCATTCAGTCAAAGGTTCTTTAAAGAACCATCTCTTTCTTACCTTTTTGTAATCTGAAGAACCTTCTTTCAGATGTTAAAGGTTCTTTATGGAACCATTTAGACAAAAAGGATTTTCTATGGCATCGTGAAGCACCTTTATTTTTAAGAGTGTAGGGTGGCAGCATTCTCTGCAGATGCATGAGCCGCTGCTTCCACTCACATCTATCACCGGCATACATTAATGATAGTTAATGATTTGTGTTCTAGCGGGTTACTTTTTCAGAGTTGCTTCATGTCCACACTCGTTTTTGTCTTTTCACATTAATAGTACTGTACAGTACATGTCAAGTTCATCACATTGCATAAAAATGTTCTACAAGTTTACTTCACTAAACTAACTTCATTGTAATATAAATATAAACGTATGTAATATTTGCGAAGTATATACACTACCGGTCAAAAGTTTGGGATCAGAATGATTTTTTATGTTTTTTACAGGAGTTTCTGATGCTCATCAAGGCTGCATTTATTTGATCAAAAATACAG